TCGGGGGGGGGGGGGAGTTTGAGGTGCAGAATGGAGTGAGGTTCAATCAGCTTCCATATGCAAATGACCTTGAAATGCTGTTCCAATCAGAGAAGAGTGGCCTAGGCTGCAGTGGGTGGGAGAGAAGAGCGGACCCAGCACCCATCCAATGCCAACTGATTACTCTTGAGAGGCAGTTCATCTGCCAACAGGTGATGCGGTACTCTTCAAGGGCCAATGGGAGAGCCTCGAATTGTGAATAAATTAGTAAGCCTTTTATATATATATAAGATGTTAATATTTTTCTTTAAAAGTGATCCATCATATAGACTGTCAGATTTAGATGTAGAAAAACCAGATTATAATCCCAGGGTCAAATTAAAAATTAATTTAAGCAATTAAATTTACTTTTGAGTAAGCACCAATAAACAAGGCTATAATGGTTGCAATCCTAACCCTCTTCCTAGGAAATAAATCTAGTTGAACACTGTGGTCCTTTCTTCTTGCTTCCCTCCTTTTTATTCCTTTCCTCTGGCTTTGAACAGCTGCTAGAGACAGCAGTTAAGCAGGTGACGGGAGCAATCCTAAGAAGCTGTACTCTGAAGAAAGTCCAGTTTTATTAAATGGGACTTCCTGCGAAGTGCCCTGAGAATTGAAGCCAAAGTGCCATCAGGCTGCAGGTGTCCTTGATCAAAATCAGTGAGCCATTTACCTGAGGTTGCTCTGAGAACAAACAGAGATGAGGATATGTGTGTTTTGACTCATAGGATATGATGTGAAGGAAACCTGGATTAATACTCAGTGAATGTATTATCCAGGATTCCAGCCCATCACGTAGCTGTTGACTCAGCACAAGAAGCTTGCCGGGATTAAAAGGTGTCTTGATCCTAGGCATGGGTGCCAGTACCTCCATGGCTAAACTGTTGCTTAAAATGTCATTAGGAGTAACATATGAGTGGAAGAACAGTTAGGCCCTTAATCTGTTTGCAACAGAAACAAACTGGAGTCTTAAACACATTTTTCTTCCAGCCAAAGTTTTTTGTGGACTCACATTGGAGGCAGACTCTAGGCCATGGCAGTTTTGCGCTGGGATTTTAAAAAATAGTTTTAAGGTGGCACAAGACTATTCCCCACCCCATTCCCCCAAGTATTCCTATTGCATGAGAACTATTGTGATCACATCATGTTCTTACACTCAGGTGAAACACTTGGGGGGGGGGGCTTGGGGGGGTCAACAGTGGGAGGGCTTCTAATGTCCTGGCCCCACTGGTGGACCTCCTGATGGCACCTGGTATTTCTGGCCACTGTGTGATACAGAGTGTTGGACTGGATGGGCCTTTGGCCTGATCCAACATTGGCATCTCTTATGTTCTTATGTTCTTATGTTCTCTTAAACACTTCAGTCTGCTACCATGGACAGAGGAAAGTAGCAGGCATATCCAGGGTCTGTCAATGAGGCAACACTAGCAAGTGAGCATACAGCGAAACTATGTAAACTGGTCCTGGGATTCCTATTCCCAGCACAAATAAATTTTCACTGGCCTTGACACCTTCTTAACATAACTCTTGCTGCCCAGCCTGTCAGCCCGAGAAAGCCTAAGGCTAGGGCGTTCCAAAGGAAGAGGGTTCCTTTAAATACAAGCGGGGATTTAAGAGGGTTCAGCCCTTGGCACAGGGATGCAAAAATGTATCTTTGCCGAAATACCTGGTGCAATCCCCAAGATCGCTGACTAGGGAGTGCACCGCATTAATCTTAGTGGTACTTCTTCGTGCCTAGGACTGGGCGCTCTGTGACTCACGCATTTCTTAAAATGTGCTCCTCGGTCCCGGGAGTGAGCAAACCGCAAAACAAAAACAAACCCGCCACCCGGTGAGCTTTCTGAATGAAAACTTCGCTGCTGTTGTTCCTCAGGGATGCCGCCTGGTGTCGACGGAGAGCGGAGTGCTCGAGAGCCCCGGCCCGTGGCTGCCGCTAGTTAAAAGCCAGCAAGGGACACCAGCCGCTCTTGGATCCGGGTGCGGAGCGCTCGGGAGCTGCCGCCTCGCTCGCTCAATGAGGCTGCCGCGATGGAGGGCGGCTCGGGCCCGGGGGAAGGCGCTCCGCGCGGGGCCGCCGCCGAAGTTTTGCTCTCGGGGGTCTTCTCGCTGGCCCCGTCCCTGAAGGTCGACTATACCCTCAGTCTCAACAGCGACGCGGAGCTGCTGATGCGCCGGCGGGACTCGGCGCCGAGCAGCCCGGCCACCCGGCTGATGCTCTCGGACTGTATCGGCTGCTACGCTTCCCAGAGCCAGGTGGCCGCCTACTTCACCCTTTTCTGCTACCCGCTCAAGAAGGGCTGGTGGGACTCCGCGGAGTCCAGGCGCAGAGTGGCTCGGACTTTCCGCGTCCTGGTGTCCCCGGAAGCCGAAGAGAACCGAGCCGTCGCCGAGACCTGGGCTGGGAAGATCAGGGAGCTCTCCGCCCCCCGGATCCCGAGGCTGGAAGGTGAGCGAGCGCCCGGCGGCAGGGAAAGACGCCTCGGTCCGGGGCCGGTGGGGCGGTGGGGGCAGGCGGAAGGAGCCGGGCGCGCGGGGTGGGGTGGGCGGCGGCGGCATCTTTGGGTCCCGGCTTCCCTGAAGGCTCTTGGGCGAGTCGCTGCCGTGTTTACTGGAGAGTGAAGTCCGCTGGAGCCGCCTTCTGAGTCAACACGCGCCGGGTAGCGCTGACTGTCCTTCCTTGGCTGTAAAACGAGGCTGCGTGGCTCCGAGGAAGGACAAAACAGCACTTTTGAAATAGAACTTTGTGAAACGACCGCGAGCGACCTTTAACAGTAATGACGTTCTCCGTTTCCATAGCTTATTTTAGGGAGGGAGGGAAGAGAGGGACTCTCTTCCAGTCTGAGTTACAGGCTCCTTGCTGTGTTTCGACTGAGGGTGGGAGTATGAGATCCCTGCTTCTCCGTAGTGTGCGACAATAGTAATAACCTCTGTCTTCAGGAGGAGTAGACTGGATTGACTCCAGGGCTGCCTGCAGTCCAAGTCCGTCTTTTGTGCAGATTCAGTGAAGGATCTTGAACAAGTCACTATGCCAGTGGTCTGTGTGGATTAAATCTATTTATTTATTTTTATTTATTGTTTATTTATTTAGGCATTTTTACCCCGCCCTCCCCGCAAAGCGGGCTCAGGGCGGCTTACAAGGGGCAAGAGCCCAGACATAAAATCAAATGTAAAAAGTAAAAAAAAGAAGAAGCGCCAGTTGTTCTGACCTTTAAACTTCCAAGGATGGGTGAGGAGTGGCTGAGGGACACAGACCCCATGTATACATCTGTTTCCCCTGAAGATGGGGTAGGCCATCTCACCTGTTATTAAAGCTCCACATGGAAAGCTCTGCTGCCAAGGAATTATCTGCAGTCAGTCACATTCCGTCAGTCTAATCTTCCTCACAGGGTTGTTGTGAGGATAAAATGGAGGAGAGGACAATAATATATAAAAGGACAATAATATAAGTTTGGGATCGTCGTATGTTACATATGACAATCTTATACATGGGGTTGTTTTACTGACCAGCCATGAGCCACATGCATGAAAATCTTATGTGATGGCCTATGTGTAGGTTACCTGCTGGTTTCGGAGCCTAGCCTGGACTGTGCAGTTTGATGGATACTTACATGAAAGTAAACATTGCATTCAGTGGAGCTGATTTATAAGTAAAAATGCATAGATTTGGACTATTAAATATTTATGTGTGGGGATTTTGTAATGTGTGGCCTGTGCAGCATGTTGTTGTGCACATTTTTTTCTAAATAAATCCCACTGAATTGAATGAGACTCCAAAACAAATGTGCATAGAACTTCAGCGTTCACCCCATTAAACAAGGATTGTGAGCCACAAACTACCGAAGCGCATGTATTTCCAAAAAACAAAAGCCATATAATAACTTTTATCAAACTCAAGCACATAGTTTAGAGTGCTGGACTTGGATCTAGGAGACCCAGGTCTTGCATCGTGGGCCTGTCACACACTCTCTGCCTAACCTAATAATAGGGTTATTGTGAGGATGATGTAGAGGAGAGGAAAATGAGATAAACTGCTTTAGGTCCACTTTGGGGAGAAAAGCAAAGTATAATTTAAGTAAATAACACAGCACAGTGTTTTGCCTCTTTTCAGGATCTCAGAATGGGTTATTTAAATGAAAATACATATAGATTCAAATAATCAGATTATTAATTTTGGGCTTCTCAAAGATGTCTAGGATTTTTCTGAAATGGCACTTTATACATGCTGGAATGGAATAACTTGGGTTAACATGATTCAAAGATTCTAGATGTGACAAATGTACCTGTGACACCTGCTGGCTTAGTATACCATGAAGAACTCTCAGACTGCAACCCACAAAGCACTTTCTGAAGAACAGGGCATCCAGTTTTGGTATGGAACAAATGTCTGTGGATCACATTTGCTGTAGATGATGCAAAGAAAACACTTCCTTAAATAACAATCTGGTAAGTAATGTTTGGGGAGGTGGAATGGTATAGTATAGTCTGATCTTGAAAGCTAAGCAGGATCTGGTACTTGGATGAGAGACCATCAAGTCAAACCACCTCTGCATAGTTACTTGCCTTGAAAACCCTATGGGATCACCATAAGTCAGCTGCAACTGACACACACACAAACTTGCACAAGTAATGGAACAGCTTAAGGTCCATCCAATCTAGCATTTTCTTTCCAACAGCAGCAAGCCAGGTTTTAAAAAAACGTTTCAGTCTATTAATGGTATTTCTTACTTCTTTCTACATGAGCTTTGCTGCAATTCAAAACCAGCCTGACTCTGCAAATCATTGTAAGAAACAAACTGGTTATGCCATTTTGAATAGTTGTCAACATAGTTGTCAGTCAAGATCATGCAATCCTCTGCATTTGTAAGATGAGTGATAAAAAAATCTTCAGCTGTCTTGCTTTAAAGTTGTGTTCCTAGGCCTTGTGAAGAAAAGACAGTTGAGTCCAGAGCCCATGTTAAAACCCAAGATTAAAAAAGGAAGGAACACAGGAATTTTAATCATCCTAATAGAAAATATGAACCAACTAGATGTGTGTGTGTGTGTGCGTGCATGTGTGCTCACGTGCAAAGTTCCATCAAGTCACAGCCCAACTTGTGATGACTCATAGGGCTTTCAGAGGTGGTTTGCCATTGCCCGCTTCTGCATAGCAACTCTCAATTGGCGGTCTCCCAATACTGACCAGGGCTGACCTTGCTTAGTTTCTGAGATCTGACAAGATCAGGCTAGCCTGGGCTATCCAGGTCAAGGCAACCAGACAGATGCTGGTACACAAATCTCTCTTGTGTTTATGGCCTAACATATTTTTATCCCACCCTTTCTCCAAGGAGCTCACAGCAGCGTACACGTTATCCCCCTCCTCTATTTTGTCCTCACAACAACCCTCTGAGGTGTGTTAGGTTGAAAGAAAGTGACTGGCCCATGGGTGTAAAGGTAAAGGTTCCCTTGCTCAAAAGCCAGCCGAATCATACTCTAGGGTTGCGGTGCTCATCTCCGTTTCATAGCCGAAGAGCCAGCGCTGTTGGAAGACATTTCCGTGGTCATGTGGCCGGCATGACTAAACACCGAGGCGCGCGGAATGCTGTTACCTTCCCACCGAAGTGGTACCTATTTATCTACTTGCAATTTCTTGCTCTCGAATGGCTAGGTTGGCAGGAGCTGGAACTAGAGATGGGAGCTCACTCCGTCATGCGGCAACTCTGGTCTCAAACTGCTGAACTACCAACCTTCCACAGCCCGCAGTTCAGCGTCTTAACCACTTGAGCCACCACAGCTCCTGGCCCAAGGGTGTGCAGTGAGCTTAATGCCTGAGAGGGATTTGAATCAGGTTCTCCCCAGTCCTATCAAACATGCTAACCATTTCAGGACAGTGGGTCTAGACAACATAATTTTATGCTATTTGTATCTCTTGATTTAGTGTGAGAGGTGCAAAGCATTTCTCCAGGGAGCTGCATGAAAATGGCTTTGCGGATAGGAATAATGGCCAGAGCTTAGGAACTCTTGTGTTACTGGAGGATATTGCACAATAAACATTGGGAGAGTCACCTGTAATCTGCTTAAAGACAACTGGGTACACAGGTGCACAGGCTTGCCTTGTCAAACAGGTTTGGAGCTGGGAGGTGGCGTACCTGATCTTTTTTCCCCACATGCAAAAGCCACTACAGGTTCTGAGAGCTTCATATTGCCTGTTGAGACATCACAGCATTCTGTGGACTGTCACCCAGCCTAGCCACTCATCTCATGCTGCCACTGAGCGGGAGGGGTACTTCTGTTAAGAAAAGGCCAGCTGTGCATGGCAGGTTCTGCTCTTATTTCCAGTGTTCCATTCACTTGAGCTGCAATAAACCATTCCCACTCCCACTTCACACAAACACTAAGCACAGAGGGGATTTTCTTATATCTGATGGTTCCTGTTCCTCCCCAATTCTCTCATTGGGTGTTATCATCCATTTTTTTTTACTGTGGCCCACATGGGACCCAGATTAAACCAACAGGGGATGTGCCTCTAAGTAAGGCTTTTTGTTGATTCCCTCAGCTGACATGAGTACTTGTATGATGAGCAATCACTCCACATATTTGCATCGCTACTGTACATAACTATATTTCCATGTGACTGTGGTTATGCATAGTTCAAAATGGACCTTGTGTTAGGTGGAGTAAATATTGCTCATATGTAAAAAGTAGGAGATGTGGAATGGTGTAGCCCAGTCTTGTCAGAACTTGGAAACTAAGCAGGGTCAATATTTGGATGGAAGACCACCAAGGAAGACTCTGTAGAGGAAGACCATGACAAGCCACCTCTCCTTCTCACTTGCCTCGGAAGCCCCTTGCTGGGGTGGCTATAAGTCGGTTGCAACTTGATGGCACTTAGGTACATATTAAACTAGCCCAATTAGGTATTTATGTGATAAACATGAGAATGTTTTATTCCGATATCATGATGACTAAGGATGATTCCTTATCTCAAGGATATAAGAACAACGTGGGTGACTGGAGTGGGCTTTAAATGGTATTTCTGAGAGGGAATTAGAGTTCACAAGGGGGGACCCGCGATACTCGCGGGGGGTGGTGGAGGGAGGCAGAGGAGGAAGCAGCAGGAGGAGGTAAGTACCCCCCCATCCTGCTGGTTCCCCCCTGTCCTCCACCCCCAGCTCCTCTCCCCCCCCAGCTCCTCCGGCAGTTACAGAGCGTCTCCTGCGCACGCGCAGGAGACGCTCTTGCACTTTCGGGGGGATTTAAACACCCCCCCGAATTTTTTTTAAACTTTTTTTATTTTTGTGCACACGTGGGGACTGGGCCACGTGTGCACAAACCTCTCCCTCCCCCCCAGGTGCCCCCGAAGTGCAGATTTAGATATCCGCACTCCGGGGGCAACTTCAGCATTAGTATAAGGATTTTCTCATTGGCCTCACTGAGGCAGTGCACAACTTTCAGTCTCAAAAGGGACTC